TTGCCCAGCAGGCCATTTTATGCAAAGAAGAAGATAAACTCCATATGGAAAATCTTTGATGCCCATCTTCCTCTTTGAAGTAAATTGGTGGAACGGACATGTCTCACTTTCTAGAACAGTCTGTTTTAAAAACATTTTAAATGCCATATTCTGTAAGTCTTTGAAGTATTTGAAGATTACCTAATTGAAATATATTTATGTATACCTAAAAAATTTAACATGACTATAAGTTTGATTGTTCTAGATGACTATTAATCTGTATTTCTTAATTATATATTACAATTTTAAAGGAGTTGCATAAACATAATACCTTAAGCAAAAGTAAAAATATACATACAGTATAACAAAATTAACTTTAAATTTGTATCAATAAACCAAAACCCATAGCAATGTAAAACATTTCAAACAAGTTGTTGCTCTATAAAGGTAGATTCAATAATCTACCCTTTTATCCTATCATATCTATATTCCCTTTTCTTCTTTAGAAAGAGATTGCATTTATAATCAGTGTTAGGATCCTGCTCTCACTCATTTTGGTGCCATGACTCAGATAGGAAATTCTGCACACTCAGATGAATGCTGTTGGAAACCTAGCTGAGGACCTGTGACTGCCCGGCAACTGCCAGATCTGCTTTTTTCATTTTCCCAGCCGCTGGACCCTCACACCACACCCACCACCCCCTCATCCTCCACCGCACGTGTGATTGGTGAGTCCTGCTTCCCACAACTGCAGTTTGAGCTATATTACTTGTGCCGGACTCCCGGGAGGGGGGGGTCCTTGAGCTGTGCTGGCAACAACACATTCTCTCCCTTGACGAAGGGGTCAATGCTGTCAGACACTTCGTGGGTCCATGTGCTGTATATGCTCCCAGCCCTTACCTTACCTTGAGGAATGGGACGGGGGTAACTTGTGCTGATTCATAGATCCTTCTCCTACCTCAGGGATGCCTGGGTTTGGAGTCTGATTCCAGTTTGTTATTTTAATTTTTTTTTTTCTCTCTTGGCTGCAGCCATGGGACATAGGGGTGAATATCAGTAAATTTGGCTGCATAACGGCTTCATGGGAACTTCCACCAGTAAACAGGCAAATAAAAAGTTACCTTATCCCCAAGCTTTTTACTGAAGCTCTGAATCCTTCTCCCTCCCCCTACAGCCCTCTGCCATGTACAACCACTTCTGTCTATCTGAATTCTGCCTTCTGCTCTCCAGCAGTGGGTGGGCCACTTCTGCTGACTCTCACCCTAACTCACCTTAACTCCTCCCACTCATTCTCAAGCTGCAGTGAGAAGCACAGGCAGGTGGGTCTGGAAGCAGGCTAAGATCTGTGCAGCCAAATAAGTTTATGATCAGGACCCACATGGGAATCACAGTAACAAGAATGGCTCTTTAGCCAGAGATAAGTTTATAGACTGCCTCCTGGCAGGTCTTCCAAAAACTGTCCTCAAGTCAGCAGCCCCCAGATCTCCCCAACATAGGACTAAAACTTAAGCATCTGGAGAGCAAGAGTCCTGACCCCACAGGCGGAAGTGTCATCTGTGCCTTTAAGGTGCACCGGGGAGAGACAAGAAAAGCTCAAGAACAAAATTACCAAGTGCTGGCACAAGCTGCCTCCCAAAAGCTGTTGGGTCCCTGTTTTAAGTGCAGGGGGAGGGGAGGCCACACAGGCTAATGAGCGCCCTGCCAGGCCATCAGTTGAGCTTTATTCAAAGTGCTGCCTAGAAAGATAACCAGTCAGCTGACTGCCCCCAGGCACCAAGATAGCATGGGAACATCAAGCCAAGACCTATAGCAGACCTAGGCTTGGCCACAGGCTCACAGGGAACCCAGGACGCAGCATGGAAGTGATATGTTTTTTTCCTTCTGGATACTAGAGCCACTGACCTAGTCCTGAGAGTTTTGGGGTCTCACCTCTCCTCATTTCCCTATTGTTGGGGTAGGGAGGACAGCCTTACCCACCTCAACAGACTTAATTGTACTTTCTGGGTTACTTAATGGGAAAAGATTTTCCAGCTAAGATAGAAACTTTCATTTCATTGCTCCTTCCATGTGCCTCACTCCAGACCTGTCAGAAGTGCTTCTCCTCCTCATACACACAGACAGGGCCCTGATCTCTGCCTTGTCCATAATTAAAAAAAAATAAGTTCTCATGTACCACAAGCTTTTCTCTTCCCAGTTCCCTCTTCTAATTAACTCAGCTAATGGTACAGGACCACCACAGAACTGGAGTCCAGAGACCATCAATTAAGAAACAGTAACAGCTAAAAGGTATTTACACCCCCAGACCCAAAAGTGGCTGGGCTCTGCAAAAACAGACTTTAATATAACCATCTATTACTGTTAAATGCTCTCAACAATTGATCACCTGTGTCTCCTGGATGCTAAACTAGTAAAAAAAAACAAAAAACAAAAAACAAAAAAAACCAAACAGGTGCCTTAAATAATCTGTCTCTGATCAAGCTTAAAAACATGTTCCAATCTCTCTATCTCTCCCATTAACACTAACCAATATAAGCAGAGAACTAAATGCTACCATGGTCACTAATTTTCTCATGGCTGCTTCTTAACATGTTCAAAATTTCTCCCAAGCTCCAGAAACCAGCTTAAATCCATCTGGACAGGTCAGATCTACTTCAGCTGCATCCTGTCAGACACAAAAGTAGCCAGGGTGCCAAGCCAAGAGGGATGGACGGCTTCAGGACAGCAGGACAGCCTTACCCACCATCCCAGGATGCCTGTCTACCTTGGAAGACCCCCTTCCCTACCTCCCCTAAGAGCCAACTGACACCCACCAAGTTAGCTGGAAATAGTTTTTCCGCAAGAAACAATGCACCTATTCCTATTCACTCGCCTTTTTATAATAAGCAAAAAGTCTGGAATGTTAGGATCCTGCTCTCACCCCTCCAGGTCTGACACCTTATGTCATCAGCAGGCACTGGCAACTAAATGGTCATGCAATCTGTGCCTTGAAAAGCCAGATGCAGACCCCCCCCCCATGCTCTCTCTCTCTCTCTGTTCTCTCTCTGTTCCCTGCTCTGCTCTGCTACCACCCCCCCCCCCCCCCGCCAGGCCTGGCTCCCCTCTTATCCCCTTTCTTTCTAATAAAGCTCTTTTTAGCTTTGGGAGTCGTGGCCATAGCCCGTGACTTTTCCACTGGTAACCAGTGCCACCCACCAGCACCATTTTCTATCAAATAATCCCCTTTAAATAAAAATAAACATATATGAACAATATCTTGAAAATTTGGGCATAGCTTCTCATACTACTTCCTGCTGATTGGGGGTGCTGGCAATCTTATGGGGATCCTGAGAAAATTAAGAATTATAGTTAAATCTTGGCTGTAGTAGTCGGTGAGGCTATATTGACCTTTCAGGGGGTCGTGGTTGATCAAAGCATATTAGCCTCGAAGCAATTCACAGGTTCTCATCTTCTGTGGAAACAAAAGCAGAAACTCTTTTCCAAAGCAACGTATCCTTAGACACAAATTTTGAAGTCAAGATACCTTTATGTATATATATAGGTTTAACTTAGTAGCCTTTACAATTAAATGTCTCTCTCCAGTTAAAAATCCCAAAAGCAATATAATAATATGCAGTATTCAGATTCTTTGTGTAATATCTATCCTTACATGGCTTAACTTTTTTATTATTCTTATTGTCTCTTTAATATTTTTAAAAACTATTTCTTTATATAACTCTATATTCATTTTCTCTCTCTTCCAAGTCTACATATATTTTTATGCACACTGTAAACCATTTAAAGTTTTATTCCATCTGAATCAGTCTTTATTGTAAACCTATAATCCTTTTCTGGCCAGGAGAGATTTTCAACTGTTAAGCTGTGTGGTTAGGACAAAAGCCACAGCCTTGACTGCTGACTCCAGCCCTCTCAGCATCCCAACATGGCAGTGGTATGTTTACCACCAGCTCTGGGAGCCCTGCTCATTGCCAACTCTGGGAAGCAGTGGGTCTATGCCTCCATCAAGGAACATGTAGCCCAGAAACTTTTTTGTCTGAACTAGCAAAAGCTAAATTCACCATGCAGTGCACTGTGTGACTTGAAGACACCTCTGTGTACCACAGCAGAAATCCACCATGCTGTAGGTCAAGCCTACATACTATGAACACACCATACTCTAGCTCAAGCCCATATACCTTGGTGTCTTTGTATCACAGCTTGCCTGAGGGACAAAACTAGGAAGGTGTTTTTAGCTGTTTTAGGATCCTTTTTTAAAAGCTTTCTCGGGTTTTGGATGGAAATTCTTGCTACATCTGGGTGCCAAATGTAGCTGTAAGTTTCTCTGGTCCTGCCTGGCCCTACGACATCTGGGTGCCAAATGTAGCTCTAAGTTCCTCTGGTCCTGCCTGGCCCTGCAGTCAGGAGGAATCTCTCCCACCAGCATCCCACAGCTGCTTGGTGCCAAGTAAAAACACAGAGGCTTATATTACAAACTGTATGGTCTATGGCTCAAGCTTCTGGCTAGCTAACTCTTTCATCTTAAATTAACCCATTCCTATTAATCTATGTTTTGCCACATGGTCTGTGGCCATGCTGGCATCAGTCTGCTGACATTGCTCCTTGGACAGCAGGCTGCCTTCTCTGCCTTTGCCTTTCCTCTTCCTGTTTCTCTCTCTCTTGGATTTCCTGCTTGGCTATAACCTGACTCATCATAGGCCAGAGAAGCTTCTTTATTAACCAATCATAGCAACACATAGTCACAGCATACAGAATGACATCCCACAGCAGTGGGATTTGGAGCCCAAGTGCCTGTGGAGTTTGCTGCAGAGAGGTTGCAACAGAAAAATCCCAAACTTGCTTAGAGGGCTTGGGGGGGGACCTAGCCTGTGAGGCAGTGGCTCTGGTGGGAACCCCCATGTGTAGCTGTGGTGTGTGCCATTGGCTACAAAGCTATGAGCAAGTGGCTTTTTCATGACTTCATGCCCCAAAAGTTGGACACCAGATGAAGTGTGACCCTAATTCATTTTATCAATAACAACCAGGAGTCAAATAGTGGGGTAATAACTTGAAAGATCAGAGAAGCAAAGGAGCAGCCACTAGTGATTTCTTATCTATTCATATCCTCAGACAAAATGAGGACTGAGATCCTGTCTCCATCTACCTTATACTCCCATCTCCACCTCCTGATTGCTGGGATCAAAGGCATGGGCCTCCAATTGCTGGGATTAAAAGTGTGACACACCACAGACTGGCCTCTAGGGTTAACTGTGGCTAGCTCTGCCCTCTGATCTCCAGGAAAGCTTTATTTGTCAAAACACAAAAAATATCATACAACAGTGCCCTGCTGGAGGAAATATGTAACTGGGGGTATGCTTTCATAATTCACATCTGTACACTTTTTCAAGTTCCCATTCTCTGGTTTATGCTGCAGGTTGAGGATGTGAGATCTTAGCCTCCTGCTATATATGCCATGTCTGATACCTGTTGCCATGCCATTTTCATGATGATCCTGTATCCCTCTGGAACCAAGAATCAAATTAAACTCTTTCATAAGCTGAAGTAGACATGTTTTTATCACACCAACAGAAAAGGCACAAATACACATCCGCAAAGTTTTATTCCTCAATTAGTTATTTCATGTCATTGAAGAGATGTATGAAATCTAAAAGGGTTACTTTATTATTTAAATTGTAGGGATTTATCCATGAGTTTGCAGGTACAAACAAAATAAAGAGGCACTGTAGTGCTTAAACAGATTGTTAACATTGTCAGATGTCTTTTCTCCAGAATACTCTTGTATAATGAAAATGTGTTGGCTAAAGATATCACCAAATCCTTTATAGCCAAATTCCCTTTGTTATGAGTTTTTTCACGTCCTCAAAGACTACTGTGACATGCACAGGCTTTAAAAGAATAATTGCATTTAACAGAATACTTTAGAGTAAAACTTTTCTACTCTTATATAAAGACTACCATGAAGTGCAAAACCCTACCACACTGACTTCATTTATAGGGTTTCTCTGAAGTTTGTTTTTTTCTCATGATTTCAAAAATTGCAGTGATGTCCAAAGGCTTTAACACATTGATTACATTAACAGGGTTCCCTCCAGTATAAGTTCTTTTATGTATTTGGAAATTACTGTTACATGCAAAGGCTTTCTGACATTGATTACATTCATAAGGTTTCTCTCCAGTATGTGTTTTTTTATGCCTTAGAAGATGACTATGATGTGCAAAGGCTTTACCACATTGATTACATTCATAGGGTTTCTCTCCAGTATGGGTTCTTTTATGAATTTGGAGATGACACTTTTGTGAAAAGGCTTTCCCACATTGATTACATTCATAGGGTTTCTCTCCGGTATGTGTTCTTTTATGCATTAGGTGATGATTGTAACGTCCAAAGGCTTTACCACACTGATTACATTCATAGGGTTTCTCTCCAGTATGTGATCTTTTATGTACTCGGAGACTACTGTCACATGCAAAGGCTTTCCCACACTGATTACACTCATAGGGTTTCTCTCCAGTATGTGTTCTTTTATGCGTTAGAAGATGGTTGTGACATGCAAAGGCTTTCCCACACTGATTACATTCATAGGGTTTCTCTCCAGTATGGGTTCTTTTATGAGTTTGGAGATGACACTTTTGTGAAAAGGCTTTCCCACATTCATTACATTCATAGGGTTTCTCTCCAGTATGTGTGCTTTTATGTTTTTGGAGACTACCACTAAATGCAAAGGTTTTACCACATTGATTACATTCATAGGGTTTTTCTCCAGTATGGGTTCTTTTATGGGTTAGAAGATTACTCTGTCGTGAAAAGGCTTTACCACATTGATTACATTCGTAGGGCTTCTCTCCAGTATGTATTCTTTTATGTATTTGGAGATACCAGTGTTGTGAAAAGGCTTTACCACATTGATTACATTCGCAGGGTTTCTGTCCAGTATGTATTCTTTTATGGGTTAGAAGATTACTTTGTCGTGAAAAGGTTTTACCACATTGATTACATTCATATCCTTTCTCTCCAGTGTACGTTCTTTTATGCATTAGAAGATGACTATGATGTGCAAAGGTTTTACCACATAGATTACATTCATAGGGTTTCTCTCCAGTGTATGTTCTTTTACGTGTTTGGAGACTACTGTCCTGTGAGAAGGCTTTACCACATGAGTAGAGTTCCTCTCCAGTATGGATTCTTTCATGCCTTTGAAGATTATTAAGATATGCATAGGCTTTAACACTTTGAATATATTCAGAAGGTTTCTCTCCAGTATGACTTCTTTCATGCCTGCAATGATAATTGGCACATATAAAAGCCATACCACATTCATTACATTTTTTGAATATATCTTTATGAATTAATTTTACAATTTGGTCTAATTGTAAAGAGGAATCACATCTTAACGTTTTATCACTTTATTTCCCTTCATTAAGGGTTGTTTTGCATCTTTGAATATAGATGTGATAGTAAGATCCTTTATTACATGGTTCACATTTATAGCATGTTTTTCCTATATGAGATTTTTCACATATATGAAGAGAACTGGAAAAACTCAGAACTTTACCACACATATTGCATTCACAAATTTTCCTATAGTGTGAGTCATACTACATTTGCAAACTGAACCAGGATAAACAGAAGTATTTACACATTCCTAGTATTCATAGGGCTTTTCTGTAATGTGAGTTTGTTGATGTGCTTCTAATGAAGCTGGAAAAGCAATTACTTGTAAACTTGAATCACATTTAACAAGTCTATTCAAAGTGGGGACTACTACATATCTTCTAATTATTCTGAGAGGGAGAGGTGTATGTGGCTTCTTTCAATACCCCTGTGTTCCTATGGCTTGTATTCAGAGTGACATATGATATACTTTTAAAGGGAGAATAACAAATAAAAGGTTTCCGTCTTGCATTCACACAGTTTGACTTCCTGGTCCTCATAGACGTATGGTATAGGGATTAAGGTTTATCCACAACAACCCCCCATTGGCTCTTAATTCCATCCCTCCTCTCACTGAATTTAGCAAAATCACAAAAAGTATATGAGTAACACAAGCTTTACTATGGACTATTTGCTTATTAGAAGGTTTTGGACATATACTATCACCTATTCAATGTGCATACCTTTTGTATATGAGTGGTATGAAACTAAAAGGATTGGCAGGCAGTTCTACAGCACAGTTCTCATGAGGTTATGAATCAAATGGTAATATCTATTAAGGCATTGTTTCCTTGTCTTCTTTCTTAAAGTAAATCATTGCAAACACAATTCACCTACTTCACATTGAGGTATATAGTTTTGTGAGAATTTAATAATCATCAATGCACTTTAAGCTGTGTGTATTAACATGGTTACTTTCTTTCAAACTTCCAGACACATTAAAAAAATTTTAGAGGCATATTTGTATTAGCTTGCACATGAAAATTACCTTCCATGTCTTCTAGAACTTTTACAATGTTCTTCAATATTATGATCTTCCCATTTGTACCCTAAAATATAGTAACAGAAAATATATATTATTGAAAATTGTGCAAAATTTAAGTTATTATCTTTAGTAAACCTTAGAACCATGCCTGATTTACTCACATCATCCTTCCTCAGTTTCAATCGTAATTACAGAAGAGCATTAATAACCAAGAAACAGTCACTCCCTTATTTTAAAATGTGAAGGAAAATTTATTCTCACCTATAGCAGTGAGGTTCCTATAGGTCTCCAGCATCACATCTTTGTAGAGACTCTTCTGGGAAGGATCCAGCAAAGCCCACTCTTCACGATTGAAGTCAACATGCACATCGTCATAAGTCACTGCATTCTATAACATCCCATACATGTATATAAAAGAAAGTGATACTGATAACATTGTAAATGTATACTTCTTTGAAAATATAGTCAAATAATTCTCATTGTTCCCATGACACAGAAGTTCTAATGTAATCATTAAGTTACTTTAGAAGGAAACTGAATAGAAGGGTCACCTCTGTCATTTCTGCACCCTTTGAATGTGATATTGCCTTGTGAGAGAAATGTGTATTAACAGACAGAGAGACAAGCAAACAGATCAACAGTACTGAGTATACAACAAAGAAATTCTATGAACAATCACTGATCACAAAAAAAAAATAATGGGCAAGCTGGGTGTATTGGTTAATGCCTTTAATCCTAGGACTCAGAAAGGAGAAGCAGGTATGTCTACCTCTGAGTTGAATGTAACCCTCATTTATGCAATCAATTCCACACAGCCAGAAGTACATATTAAGAATCTGTCTCCCCTGCAAAAATCAATCAAACAAACAAAAAACAATAGAAAGAACTCAAAGGGTTTTTTTTTTTTTGTTTTTTGGTTTTTTGTTTGTTTGTTTTTTTACTGAAGTTCCTCCAAAGAGTTATGCATTCACTCCAGTTCTATATTCGTCTTCTAGAAACCTGAAATGCCTGTCTAAACTGTGACATTAATAAGATCTTCCTAAAAGGTACTGCATATTTAAACAGGTAAAAATGGACAGCTGAAAACATGAGCAATGTAAATGCTGATCATAAATAATAACATAGGGCAGGAAGAGATGGCTCAGCAGTAAAGAGCTCTTGCTGGTTTTGTATATTTGTGGTCTCAATTGCCAATACTTATATGGGGGATCACAACTATCCATTATTCCAAGCTCAGGAGTTCTGAGACCATCTTTTGACTACTGTGAGGATCAGGCACCCATGGGGGTACATATCCATGTATACAGACAAAAGACTCATATTCATTTAAAAAAATTTCAAAACAAATACAATAGACAGGAAGAATGTCACACACCTGCAATCCAATGACTCAGAAGGCTCAGGCAGTATTAGTGTCATGAATATATGCCATCCTAGGAAAGATAATGATACCCTCTGCAAAATTTCAAAACTCACAATGTTGGTGAAGCTCAGTACAACAGCACATACTTCACATGTACAAAAACCTACATTTTAGGCCCACCACCCAATAATATAAAAACAAAACAAAACCCTGAAATGGTTGGCTCACCTTTAATTTCAGCACTTGGTAGCTAAAGTCAGGAGTCTGAGTTTGAGGGCACCCTGGTCTGCAGAGCTACTTTCAAGAGAGCTAAGACTACACAGACAAACCATGTTTTTCAAACACAAAAACAACAAAAAAGCCCAGCAGGCTAGCAAAATGGTTTAGCATTGAATAACAATTGCTTCTACTGTATCTTATGTGATTTAGGGATAGAGTTTATAATGGTGGTGAAGTCATGACAGCACAAGAAGAAAACTAACCAATCAGTTTCAACCACAACACGGCAAACACAAAGAACGGGAAATGGGTTGAGGGTATAGACACTCATCTCCCATCCCCAATGAGGAATTTCATCCAGAAAGGTTCCTCCTACTAAAGGTTGCACAATCACCCCAAAGAGACCCACCAAAGAGATACATGTTCAAATATATCATCTATTTGGGAGATTTTTCATTCAATAAAATAGATCCTGACCCAAATCACTACAGGCTTATGGTCATCTATGAAGAAAATGCATTCAGTCACTTTAATGATCCTCAGAGTCTACAACAGCCCCTATGTTGTTCAAGTGTCCAAAGTCTCATCTGACACTCAAGAAAAGCTCTTGACTGTGACATCTTGTAAAATTAGAAAGCAAGTCAAATCTTTCTAGTATACAATGGTACAAAATACCCATTCCTAGTCCAAAAGAGAGGAATAGGTACATAATAAGGGATGATTGGGCTAAGGCAAAACTAAAATCCAGCAGGGCAACAATCAAGTCCTGTAGCTCTGTCTCAGACACATGGGGATTCAGTTTTAAAAGGCTTAGATGGCCCTATCTCTGCAACTTCTCACACAGCTCTCTCTATGGTTACTTCCACTCTATATAAGCAGCTCTTCCTGGCAGATGTCTCATAGCTTGGCTATTTCAACATTTTATGGTCTCAAAATACAGCCCAGGCTTTATCTTAATAGCACCATGCAACGAATTTTCACAGTCTCTTCACTAGGGCTCTGACTCTGCCAAACACAGATGCCTACAACAGTGCTGAACTGAAACCACAGACTAAGAATCCATGACCTGAAATTTTGCATCTTTTTTTTGTTTCCAGAATTAGTGCAACATTGATGATTCCTCCAAATTTGGCTTCTAAGTTGTGATGGACCCTGCCATGCTTGGTCCCGAGTTGCAGCAGGTTTTGTATGAAGTTGCTTCCTGGGACTAGGAAACACTTTGCATAATCCTTCCATTAATTGGGGGCATAGAAGGATGGAATCTTACCCTTAAGGCACCTTGCTAGGCTTCCAACATAGAGCAAGGTCATATCTTTAATGGTGATAATCTCCCTGAAAATTCCTTCCTGTTTCAGCACTTGGCTGCCATCTGAAACTACCTAGTGCTGCTTTTCCCTACAACTCAAAGATTTTCATTTATTTCTGCCCCACTTGTTGCTTTTTTTCACTATAGGTCTCAATGAGTCATCGGTAATAGCCATCTAAGAGATTTCAATACTCCATATAAGAAATCAGCCCATTATTTTTTTTCTTCTTGTTTTTCAAGACAGGCTTTTTCTGTGTAACAGTTCTGGCTGTTCTGGAACTCACTTTGTAGACCAGGTTGGCCTCAAACTCACAAAGATCAACCTGCCTCTGCCTCCTGAGTGCTGGGATTAAAGTCAGCATCACCACACCCAGCTCAGCCCATTATTTTTTTAATTCTGCCTTACACAATTTTTCAGGCCATGGGCATAACAAAAGTTTTGGACCAAAATATCACACAAATGACCTCTAGCTTAACTTATCATGGAGTCTACTTCCCACTGAAATTCTATGACGTGGACCTCCACTGTCTGTCATTACTCTCAACACTCCCATCTTCCAGGTCCTACAAGAACAGCTGATTAAGCTCTATGTACAGCTTTCTATGGCTTTCACTATCCAATGTCCTGATATCCTCCACATTCCTCTAAAAGATAACATTCCCAGGTTCTGCCCAGGAACAAAACCATTTTTTATGTACTATTTTTGTTTCAACTTGCTTCTCTGATGCTAGGATTAAATTCTCTAACCAAAAGCATCTCAGGTAATGAATGGGTTTATTTGGCTGATTCTGTCAGATCACAATCTATCATTGTGGGAGCTTAGGATAGAAACTCAAGCTAGCAAATGAAGGCAAAAAGCATGGGGAAACTTTGTTTCCTAGATTTCTCTCTTACTTGGCCATTGTATCATGCTGTGGTAGCTCTCTTATTCAGCCCAGGCCTACTTTCTTAGGGATATTGCCACCCTCAGTAGAAGGGATTTCACACATCAATCATCAGTCAATGCAACCTCTCAAAGACATAGCAACCAGCCATTCTGATGGGGGTATATCCTCAACTGATGTTCCATCAGATGATGGCAGGCTATGACATGTTGACAGCTGGAGCTAACTAGGACACAGAGACAATAATAAACAAGAATGTTTTAAAAGACAAAAACCAATGTACTAGCCACAGAAATAACTTAAATAGCAAAAATGCAAATACTGATGATAGTAACAACAATTATATGCCAAGAAATGAGGAGAGGTAAGCCTCTAAGATCAAGAAGAGAACATTAAATCTGTTTCTCCACAGAAAGTCCCCAAACCAACAAAAACTCAAGGAACTGATAACAGTAATTTTTCAGAATACAAAAATAGCTAAAGGCCCATCATTTCCCAGAGAAACATCAATATAGTTAGATTACAACTAATAAAATCACACAACATAGATGGCACCATTGACCAAAGGAGCCACAAAGACAGACCTACAAATTTAACATGATCCCTTAAACTAGAACTACAAGATTCTAGCCAAATTTAAAAAAAAAAAATCACTGACCACAACTCACCCTGTGCACTACAGTTCTCCCCTTTGCAATAACAGAAAATGGGTTGGGTGAGGAGGGATGTTCTACCAAAATTGGATAGATTTGCTTGAAGCTTTCTGATGTTTCTACATTGTAGAAAATATCCCATTCTTTTTTGATAAAGAAAAGGATGTCTGTTAGGATAACTTAGAAACCATTTTGTTTCCTATGATTGAAGATTGGATGTAACTCTGCATCAGAGTGAGGAAATGAAAATGTTTTCAAACCAAACACAAGGTAACAGATTTTTAAGTGAACATTGTATGATTTGTATTATGCACCTAAAGCAACCTGTTATACTCTAATTGCTTTTTAAGTCACAAGCACTTTTGAAAACAAGTTTATCCCCATTTTATGTGTATGTTTGTATGTGTGTGAGAAAATGTTTTCCATGTGTGACATACCCAAGAAGAGGGTGTCAGATTCCCTGGATCTGGAGTAGCAGGTGTTTATGAGCCTTCCCACTTGGGTGTTGGTATATGAACTCAGGTCAACCTGAAGAATACTAGCTGAGTGACATGCCCAGCCCACATTGTACTTTTATCCAAAAAAAACCTATTAAGTCTTTCACAGATTAACAACAACAAAAATCTAAATAAGTAAGTAAATAAATGATCCCTGGGAATCTGATGAATCAGTATTAAGATGTTGGGTAGGTTACCAGATAGGTTGCCCATGGACCTTCCCCATTCTCAGCTACCCGTGAGAGCCCACAAAGGTTTCCTAGTGAGATCTGGGCTTGCTTTACACAGCAGGGCTGCATTAGGGGATGGCTTGACCACATGCATGGTTACCAGGTGTTTGGGATGGTCTGTACTTGGCTATGCTGGGAGGAGGTCTTTTGCTCCACCCCTTGGCATTCCTTTAAAAGCCCTTTAGAAGGGACAGAAGGGGCTGGTGGATTTTGACCCAGGCCCTCCCGAGACTAT